TTTTGTTTTAGTATTTTGAAGTTGACCAATTGTTACTATAAGCAATTAATGATTATAGATGATCTGCACCGTACTATAATATAACCATTGGCATTGGCTGTGTTTGAGGAGGAAGTGCGGGCGTTAATAAAGGAATGGTAATAAGCGAGTTAATGACGATTGGTAAAAAAAATAATAGAATGATGATGATAAATTTTTAATTTTTCAATGATGTTTTTGATGACAAGAGATAAATAAAACTATTTTTTATGATATTAATAATAATAATCTATCAAAGAGTCTTTTTGTTATAAATAATAATTATTACAGTTAATTCTACTTGAGAAGTTTAATATCAAATCTACTCGATTAATTTAATATAGATAAAATTGTATATGTGCTTGTGTGTTATAAATGTTTTTTTTTGATGCTTTTTTTGCTTAGTTTTTTTTCTTTCCATTTTCATCAAAACCATCAACTTCTTTTGCTTGTTTTTGCCAAATCTTTCCATCCTTTCTTTTGTTGATATCATATTGCTCCTCACCAGGTAAACGATGACTATTACCAATTTTATCCCAAATAGTAAAATATTGTCCATAATTATAATTAAAATATAGGTGATGAAGAGCATGATGTGCTGCTCCGTTAATAAATGTACCTGAAGAAAGGTAAGCACCTAAATCATCATAAAATTAATAATCTTATGATTAATAACAACTATAAAATTATTATTTAATCTTATAATAATATATTATTTACCATCATGAATCATTACTGTCCATAAATTGACAAATACAAATGAGACTATATAGATATACTTTTGCAAAGGAAATATGTAAATAAATAAATGATACGGAACAGACTGTACATAGCCATCTAATGGATGAAAAGCATGAGAGGAATATGGAGTTGGTACTAGAAATTTAGAATGTATTTTTAAAAATAATTAACAAAATATTTTCCCTCCAATGGATTAATTAATAATTAATATAATTATAATAAAAAAGAACTAATTATATCTCTTACTTATCCACCGATGATGTGGCTACAAAAATAATGAAAATAATTAAATAATTAAAGTTTAATGAAAAAAATCACAATAGTTTTCTAAATAAATATCTTCTGAAATCCACAATTACCTTATGTAAATGTTTATATATGAGTGGATGATGTATCCAACGATGTATCCAATATATACACATGTCAGTAAAGAATAAAAATAAAAGTGCAGATATTGGAATATACAACCACCCATAATCATCTACATTCTCATATAATTTAGAGTATCCTCGAACCTCACCAACAAACCAAGGCACAGTGAAAAAAGTTGTAATTGGGAAGCCAGTAACTGATAATGTCAGTTCTTTTCTTATTTGATTTTTTAAGAATTTTGGATGGTTCATTAATTCTTTATCAAATACAAAAAAATATGATAAAGATGCAAAAAAGAAATAGAAAAAATATGCAAAAAAATTGGTGATAATATTTAACGATAAAAATTGTCTGTATATGTTATCACGAGGAAATGAATGGTGTTGGAAGAAAGTGTTGTCTTCAAATGAAGAGGTGACATTCATTGAAACTGGCGGGAAAAAACGCGTATAAAAGTCATCAAAAAAATACTCATCAGCTATATTTAATGCGATGTCTACCATATTTCAGTATATTTATTATTATTATTGTGTTATTTAAATAAATTAAAGATATCTTTTCATTTATTTATGAATAAAAAAATTGAACGTAAAAATTACTATTAATTAAAATTTTTTCAAGTTACGTTACATAAATTTCCCAATAAAGTAATCAGATCGCACATTGTTATTGTTATATATATATACTATTATCTAGGGGTAAAGTAAATAAATGGGGGACAACTCCTTGGTTTCTGGAAAGTCCAAACCTGTCGTCATCCCTCAAGCATAGATAAAATCTTTTTATGGATAGATCGGCGTTACACACATTTACAAAAAAAGATCAACAATTTATATGTGAAGAGTATTGTAAATCGAAAAAGTACCACTTGGAAAAGTAGCGCTGCACAGATTATATAACACCAGTTCTTTCCTGAGTGGAAAATAACTTTTCCTGAACGGAATTGGATTTTTATTTTTATTAATAACAAAGTTCTCTAAATTTGTCATAACATCCAAATTTGTGATGATCTACATTTTAAATTAACGCGTAACATAAAAAATAAAACTAATATATAGATAGTTCAAGCAATAATAAATAAATAACATTTCTAACTATCATTTATCAAAAAAATTTTGGTTAAGTATATCAATATAATTGGATTTTGGTGAAAATAAGCTGTGGAATCAATCCTCTTGTCGATCTAATCAGTCCTGACGAAAGAAAGAAAAATTTTTAGAAGAAATTTTCTTTGAATTTAGACAAGTAATAAAAATAAACGAATTATTATTTATTTTCACTTGATTTTTGTGATAACCCCCTTGGGACTGAGGAACAGCGTGCATTTATGGAGGGTGTGCATTTATAGAGAGAACAAATTTCATTGGTTGCAGCTGTTACATAATGATTGATGAGGGAAAATTGACGAAAAAAGTTACTATTGTTACCGGAATTAGCTCTTTTGGCTGAATTTAACTAATTCCGAAATTCTTAATTTTTATTATTATTATATTTTATTTATTTCTATTTTTATAATCTTATTTTATTAATTTAGTATTATTTTATCCATATTACATCTATTTTCGTAATACATTTTATTTTTATTTTATTTTATTTCTATTAATTATTTGTATAACATTGTAATTTATTTAACTTTATTAAGGAAGAAAGCATAGTGGACTTTCAATTTGTGTAATGTGACTATTGAAAATTTTTGCCGATCAGATACAAATGTAAAATTATAACAGTAAAATAACACTAGTAAAATTTTTATTTTGGCATCAACATGCCTCATATCCTTCTAATAAAG